TTCACTTCTTAACACGTGTACGATGCTATATATGATTTTTTTTATGTTTAAAAAAAGTTGGGAAACTTAGGAATGTCACCCCCCCAAACCAGAGGCCTTCTCTACGTCCCTGGTAGGATTTATTGCAAACTGTTCGAGAACTTCGATTTGCGTTGCTTCGTCCAGTAGTCTTGGTTGATCCCTCAGAGGTTGATCCCTTTCCTTATTTGCGACAGTACCACTTTCTTGAAATATTTTCACTAGTTGGCGAAATACAGACTTACATTTTTCAACATAATTTTGGTTCCCCCTCCCTACTATAGAAATTGTTTCCAGCGACTTTTCATATTTTTTTTGGTTCCTGAGATATAGCCATTGTAAGTTTTCAAAGTGACACCCTGTATATATTGTCACGGCTCTGGGGTGCGTGACAGATATCTTAGGTTCGTTTATTCCAAAATCAAAGTCCAATTAACACGACAATGATTTATTCCACGTTCCTACACCTCTGACACTAGTTACTTCACTAATTAACTCAAACAACTTTACTCTTTACAACTCTTACAAAAATCACTAAATCGTATCACAGTCAATCTTAAAAATCTTAAAAACTACTAACTTATACGGGCCTTTATATCCGTAATCCATTCTTGTAAAATCCAGAATAAACTCGATAGCCCTTTTTCCCGAATAGCACTGTAAAATCTAGAATCAGCTGTCCAATTCTGTACACCCTGGCGCCTCGGCACTGCCTCCTCTTAAGGTTGATCGTCCTGATCAACTTTAACTTACTCCTGGTGTTGCGCTGAATTCGATAAACCAAATCATTAATCCTCTTGATTATTCTGTAGGGTCCTTCCCATGCTGAAGATAATTTCGGCGACACACCTTTCTTTCTTGCTGGATTATACAGCCACACTAAATCACCTTCTTGAAATCCGGCTGAATTGGCTTTCAAGTCGTATCTGGTCTTCCAGCTGAATATGCTCCCGAGCAAAATCATGTATCCCCAGAAGTCGTGCACTTACTTCGTCGGCCTAATCTCGAATTGCTTCTCGTTCTTCTCCAGGTATTCCAAACATCAGATCGCAAGTTAACCTGAGTTCCCTTCCAAAAACGATTCTAGCTGGTCTTTCACCTGTTGACTCGTGAACAACTGCTCAGTAAGCCATTAAAAATAGAGGCAAATGTTTGTCCCAATCTCGCTGGTTCTTGGCGACTACTTTTGTCAGGTGTTCCTCTATGGTCTAATTAAATCGTCCTACCATGCCATCAGACTGTTTATGTAAAGTTGTTGTCCTTGTCTCACGAATTCCCATGATCTCACAAATTTTCTTGAATATGGCAGATTGGGAGACCGACGCTGTACTGTTTAATGTGCCCCCGAGATCCCAGTTTAGGGGCTTTAGGGCCTTTACTGGTAGCACAGATGTCGCATTTCCGGCACCAGTTTTAAGCGTCTTCATGAAAGTTAACCCAGTAAAAACGTTCCCGAATTTTGTCCAAAGTCTTGTTACCTAACTCCAAAATGTGCCCCTGAAGTTGCGTCCTGTATTTCTTTTAATACATCTTCTACTCGATCTTTTGGAATAACCAGTTGGCTCTTAGTAGTTTTTCCATCGGCACTTTCCCAAACTGTTTTCAGTAAACCATTTTCTATGGCCAGAGAGTTCTACTGACCCCACAGCGCCTTGTAAATCAAACTCTTGTTCGACACTTCCCTCCATTTGCCCGATGTCCTGGTCTGCCTCTTGATCTGCTCTCATTTGTTTGGTTGTCAATTTATCATCAACGATAAAACCCGTTCTTCTCACATCCGGCCCAGTGTTTTTCTCATGCATATCGATTCTTTGACAATACCTGCAGTCTTTAGTGCATGGCCGTCTAGACAGAGCGTCAGCATTTTTATGCAGGTTTCCAGGTCGAAGTTTAATTTGGAAATCGTATGGCTGCAATTTCTCAATCCATCAGCAAGATGTCCTTCGGGAATTTTCATTTCTAAATGCCATTTTAGAGCCGTGATCTGTTCGAATAAGAAACTTACGTTCGTAGAGATATTTATGGAAATGGTCGACTGTTTTCACTATGGCAAGCAGCTCTTTTCTGATGACACAATAATTTCGTTCTGGTTTTGATAAGGTTCTACTGTAGTACTCTACGACATGCTCTTGTGAATTTTGAATTTGTGAAAGTACAGCTCCAACACTGGTGTAGCTTGCATCTGTGTCCAAAATCAACATGCCTTTCTGATCGAGTTAGGACAACACTGGGCTTGTAAATAATGCTCCTTTTAATTTTCTAAGAGCGGAATCGCATTCTTGGGTCCAAATGAATGTTGATTTGTCTTCCATTAATCGATGAAGCGGAGCAGCTATATTAGCGAATCGTTCTACAAATCTTCGATAATAAGAACGTGCCACATGTTGCTAAATTCTCCAAAATGGTGCACCGTCACGAATGCGGTGATTAAAATTCACTAATGCCAATTCCAAACATCAGCTTGTCAACGCCTGTTTAATTTAACAATACTGCTTTTTCTACCATTCCACCACGGTGCCTACACCAGCTGAATTTAGCCATACGCGGATAATCCTAGAAAACTCCTTAGTTTATGTTTGTCGCGTTTGTGTGGTTTTGGCCAATCCCTGACAGCATCTATCTTTTCTTGCATAACTTGTATGCCGAGAGTCATCATAAGGAGAGCCCTACTCTACAGTCACACTTAAAAATATATACCCTTCTTGCAGTATTAACATTCAGTGCCCCCTTTCAAGCAGCGCTTGTTTGATTCTGGTATAACAACTCTTCGTTTTTCTTCCAGAACTTCCTTCATCGAGTCTCTAATGAATTTTTCTATTGGTTTTTTTTCTTCTTGTATTGTCACAGCTCTGACTACGTGATGGTCTTGTTGTCTCTACATACCTACATTGATATCTGCATATCACGAACTTTATTGATGAAATTTTTGGCCGCTAGTTGTTCTCGCATTTCTCTTGTTGCTTCCGGTAGGCTGAATTAATCAGAGGGCGATATCGGTTTCAAATTCTTCTAAATGTTCCAACTACTTTACGTTGAGTTGTTCTTAGCTGTATGTGGTAAAGCTTCCGTCGGTATTAATCCCTAACAAGCACACCATAGTTTTGTCTGGATGCTGGTAAAAGAGTCTCTAATAGCCTGTGGTCATGTTATCAGAGCTGCAACGATAATCTATTGCAACAGCTAAAACTGACGCCTTGTACATCTCCCACTTCTGACCGTCGTGGGTGGCATTACTATAATATGTATTGAAGGCGAAGCTCAGATCGCAAGTCACATTCCAACTTTTTAATTTTGTTCTGAACACTATCGGCTAAAACTTACCATGGCGCGGATACAGCTTCTGACCACAGTACTCATAGCTAACTTTAGCGTCAGTCGTCATACTAAACAAAAACATCAGGTACCTATGCACAAATATACAAAACGGAGACATGAATGAGAATGGACTAAAAACGACAATCATCAGGCAAAAAACGACAAAAATAAGTAGGTACCTAACTACACTGAGAGACAAAAATGGAAATATTAGCGCAGACATAACAGGCAAACTAGAACGGTGGGAAGAATATATAGAGGAACTTTTTGCAGACAGTAGAATAGACACAATGCAACAAAATCTGGAACAAACAGGTGAAATAGGTTAGGACCACCTCAGGATGTAACTAAAGACGAATCCAGTCATAAAGAACGTGAGAAAAAACAAATCACCCGGACTTGATCAGAAGTCTTTAAACTCATAGCTTATACCAAATCCACACATGGCCCATAATCTCCTTTAATGCCATATACAAAACGGGCATACTCTCAAAAGAATGGCCTATGTCATCATTTGTAACCATTCGAAAAAAGCCGAATGCAATAGAATGCATGCAACGATCATATTCATAGAACCGTCGAAGGAAACATAAGTTGGGCTTCAGAAATGCGATGAGGACACGGGAAGCGTTATTCCCCCCAAATGTTCTTAAACAGACAGAGGCGTCTAGATGTGAACCAAGGTCATTTCGTCGGTTTTTTGGATCACAAAAAAGCATTCGAATAAACGAGAAGCACATGGATTTCAGCGACATGCGAATAATTAGCAACTTATTCCTATATTATAATCAAAGAGCTGTTTTTAGAAAGGGCGAGATATAACAATAAACAAGATAGGACACTCACGAGAAATAAGATCCGGCATAGGTCAAGCTAGAGCTGCTTTTAAAAACATGCGAAAAGTATTCTGCACTATAGACCTAAACATCAAACTTTAAGATCAGAGTTGCCGAATGTTATATTTTTAAAATTCTTTTCTATGGAACGGAGTTACGGACAATGAACAAAGATGACTTGAAAAGATTTCAGGCTTTCGAAATGTGGGTATAGGTATAGGTATAGACAAATGCTTAAATTTTCTTGGACGGCACGATTTACAAAGAACAAACACAGAGATATTGAGGCGATAAGGTAAAGATGCGGAGATAGTGGACACTGTAAAAACAAGAAAATTTGCTTATCTGGGTCACGTTATGCGCGACATAAGGTTCCACGTGCTACAGCTAATACAAGAAAAGATACAGGTCAATCGAGTCGTAGGAAGAAGACGCACTTCTTTACTGACAAACTTGTGAGAGTGGTACCACTGAACATAGGTACATCAATTATTCATTGATGGAATTATTCCGAGCAGTCGCATCCAAAGCAAGAATTGCCATGATGAAAACTAACCTCCTGAAAGGAGGCGAGGCGACAGGTAAAGAAGAAGAACAAACATACACGAATTCTTGAATCTATTATCTAGCCTTTCCAAGATTTTTTCAAGTCTGGTTTGTTCTTCAGAGATTACTGTTCGAATCCACTCTCGCTGAAGGTTTTATTTTGATCTTCGATCTTCTTGTTATTATTAAATTGCTTTAAGCCGGTTATGCTCTTCTGGTTTTTTTGCCAATATGTACCTACTGATGTCGAAATAAAATTATATTAACAAAACAAAATATTTTTAGAACATGTCGCATTCGTCATTGTAAGCCAAAATAACGACTATAACGATGCATTGGCAAAGGAACTTGAACGGAACTTGGAAGCACAATCACAAGAAATGCAAATTGTAAGTCACTAATAATAATCACCAAAAAGAAAGGGGAGAAACCGTTGTTATACCATAGATGGCATTGGTCTACCATCATAGTGAACAATACTGCTTTGTTATTCAGACACTAGACCTTTGGGTTTCTCATCTCTACTGTCCCTTGGTAGGCTGATGAGACTTAAATACAGTATCCGCCAAAATAAACAGTTCTGAACATATAAATTATATCATTTATTAATTTGTATCACGCGTATATCTTCATAGCGATTCTGCAAATCATTGAAAATATTTATTTAAGAGTGGTTGCTGAAATTTTTATGAGACTTGTTTGTTTCAAACTTGAGCCTTTATTCCTTCCAAATCCGTATGACCGGAAATATTGCTCTACTGAAAACTGTTTCTCAAGTTGAAAGATACATAATGACGAAGATTAACCTTAACCTTAACTTAATGTCAACCTCATAACTAATACCAAGTAAGCGAAATTTATTTTGGCGGATACCGTAGATCGAAACGCGTCCGTGAATGAAATGAGAAGAAATTGAATCTCTCCTTTCTTTTTGGTAGATAGATACCTTGTTCTTGTTTGAAGTATTTGAGTAAGCATACCCGAATAATAATTAGGTACCTTTTTCCTCAGGACAAGCCAGAAATCTACATTTCCAATAAAGTATTTGATGCCAGCGCAGATTGGATCATAGCTCCCATTATAGCGCAAATTTTGGATAAAATCGACAAGAATTGCCGATGGATTGTTTTTTTGGAAGATCGCACAACAGTTTCTTTAAAACTGCTCTTAGATGCACTGAATAAATGGGATTTCAATAATGTACCTAAGTTTGATTAAAATCACTTCATTATTTAAGAAGTTTCATACCTATCGAGTTTTTTAGCGTTCAAGAATTTTCTGAATGATTTGGTATAATTTTTTTTAGCCTACTCATGTTTTTTTTTAAATTTTTCATCTGCTTTCCATTAGGCCAGGGCAGTTAGCTGAAAAAATGGCCTTTAGGAGAAGTTTTTGCAATCGAGCTGATTTTTTCACAGATGATAGTACCCATCAATAGTACTCTGTGAAAAAGAGTTGCTCCTCCTTCTCCTATTTTTGCTAACTGCCCTGGCCTACATTCAAATTCATGTGGAATTGAATTGAAATTTGATAGAAACTTCTCAATAGGTACATAAATGTTTTTAGGAAACATGGATAGGACATGCTTCATACGACTCCGATGCAACCATTATACATCATTTTGCCTTTCATGGGGATCCAAAGTTTTTCAAGTATCCGAATTTGGCTTCTGGGATGGCTTTGAGTATCCCATTATTGAAAAGGTAAAAAAGTTACTTTCTACCAAAATTAAATGTAGGTTTTGACTTTCAAATAAGTAGGTACATAGTTAATAAAATACCTAAGTACTTACAATGATCGAACCTAATTTTTTAGTCCTTATCGATTAGCACATTCTCTCAGGAGATGAATGTAGTACAGGTAATATTTTTTAGATATAAAATATTTCAGACTGAGACACCGTTTAGAGAAAGGATACAAACAACCAGATTTTTTCATCGATCCGGCACACGAATTTTCACTTTTTGTATATGAAGATGGAAGAGGCCTGATGATCCAACATGAACCATTATTCTGCTCCAAAGAGGAACCTAATTGTGCAACTTATCCCCACAAATTTCAATCTTGTGTGAGTATATATGGTGACTAATTATAAGGCATAGAAATTCAAATATGATTTCCCTCCATGTTTCTTTCCAATATTTGCACTAGATTAGGCGATTGAAACTATACTAGGGAATTATTGTGATTGACGATAAACGCGAATGAGAAACAAAAAAATAAAATACACAAAGAAATATTCCCTACAGTCTACCGCCACCGTAGTGTCAAGAATAGATTGGTTATCCACTGGATTACCTATCCCAGCATAGTTCCAAAGTTCCAAATTAATAATTATCATAGCACCAGTATCATCTATACGACCTACCTAATAAGTGAATAGTTTTGAAGGAGAATTTGCTTGCTCTATAAAATACTCTAAAAATGTATCCTCCTAATATATAGGTAGGTAAATATAGGCACATAAATGCAAAAATAGCGAAACTTATTTTCTCTTTCCAAAAGGTTTACCTACTCCATTTTCAAACAGGGCACTTAAAATTAAAGTATTACCAATATCAGTTGAAAATCGCATCTCTATGATGACTACCTACTCAAAATTAGAAAAATACCCCTTATGATAATATACAGGGTGGGCCAGCGAAAACGAAACAAGGTCGATATCTCGTATTCATCGTTCATTGAAAAAAAGCGCTCGGACCCGTCGATTTTTATTCGGAGGGGGAAATCTTCTGCACATATTTTCAATGTTGTCACTTCAATCCTCTCGCGGGGGTAAGCTCCAACCCTTAAATCTTAAATGGCAGTAGGGGTCAAGCGATACCTCATTTCAAATGTCATCGAATTCTCTTTTCAACGGTGCCTATTTTTTTAAATTTACTGAGTTTTTTTTTTTAAAAGATATTTGAAATTAGAATGTATTCAGTTGAATTTTATTGAGTGATGAAAAAAAAACTAGACTTTAACCTTGTGATTTCAAGTTGGATAGCACACGACTTCAAAAAAAACACATAAAATCACTTCTTAAGAAAAAATTGTTATAACTACAAAATTGATAGAGCTCAAAATGACTAAAACAGTACTAGTTTCGTCTATTTTTGAATGCGTTTTCTCGAAAACCACTGCATCAAATTCAAAAAAAAGGCACCGTTGAAAAGAGAATTTGATGACCTTTAAAATGAGGTATCGCTCGACCCCTACTGCCATTTAAGATTTAAGGGTTGGAGCTTACCCCCGCGAGAGGGTTGAAGTGACAACATTGAAAATATGTGCAAAAGATTTCCCCCTCCGAATAAAAATCGACGGGTCCGAGCGATTTTTTTCAATAAACGATGAATACGAGATATCGACCTTGTTTCGTTTTCGCTGGCCCACCCTGTATAATTATTTTTATATTTTTATGCCTAGTCCTGGTACACTATTTCAAAGACACCGCACACCGGCAAAAAAACTTAAAAAGTGTGGGCAATGCCGCTGGTCTTTGTCGCATACCGACAAAGCCAAGCCGTTCTTGTTGACAGTGTGAGATATCTCTTTAGAAGTGGACAAAAGTATAAAATTACACAGATAATTGAATCAAAAACTATTTCAAATTTGAGTTTCTAATGAAGGAATAATATTCCCATTTAAATATTTATTGAAACGGAATTTTAAGGATTAGGTACCTACTATATGAATTTTGCCCCTTTATTTAATGTATTAACTCCACTGTATTCTAAAAGTAAATCAGCTAGAATTTCGGGGCAATGGCGTTCGTCATTTCAGTTTTTATAGAAATATCTGGAGTATGTTTATTCTTTATTAACCAATTTGTTTTCATTTGTCATAAAAATAATATTTAGACGCCTATGGATTCCCACGTGACTTCAAAGAGATCGACTGAGCCGCCTTTTTTATGAAGTTTCAATTAACAATGGTTAAACTATACCTACCAATATTTTTGTCCCAAAGTGAATAATTTTAAATGACAACATCCATATTAACTTTATAGTGGGTCATAATTCAGACGGTTAAACTTTATTGATTTTTTTCTCCATTGAACGTATTGTTAACTCCACAGAACTTAAGTCTGTTTAAAATTGATGTCGATCAGTACCTATTACTGCTTTTAAGATTTCAAGCTCGAACTGAAGTGCTATTTCAACTTGTAACTTATAGTTATGGGTCGTTTCTAAAAAAAACAATAACGTGAATCGCTTATAAACTCAGGACAACTAACTAACATGTATTAGAATGTAAAAGAATAAGGTAGAATACTCCAGTGCGTTACCAATAATAATAGAGATAGTATCAGCATAACATAAATAGAGTAAATATGAGAATTTTAGGAACATTTCAACTTCTTGAAAACTAAAAACTGTCTATTAAACGCTTAGAGCAGATTAAACTTAAGTGTTTAACAAATACATTATGCTTAACACTACTTAAATAACCCTTCTGTTGATATGTCAGAAGTTATATCCGTGGCTAATAGTTATTTATGTATCAAGGGAATTATTCTGTCTATTTTTATATAGAAACCATAAATGAAAATTTCAATTTTTTGTCAAAATTTCACCTATTCAAGGTAAAAGCAGGAGTTATGGAAATGCTTAACTCCCTTGGGAGTTATGAATGGAAATCCTTAACTCCCTTGGGAGTTATGATATCCTTAACTCCCGCGCGGGAGTTAAGACTCTGTTTATGATTATCGTAACCAAGGTATTATATGGTTATAATAGTTCAGTAGGATATAAATATTTTAAAGAAACCTACCCATTAGAAACTGCGTCACGAATAAAGTGATGTCTGATGTCTATGTGTTTGGATCTCTTATGTACAGGGTGGGCCAAATTGGACACTTTCTTATGGAAACACCCTTTATTTTTAGAGATAGAAAAAAATGGACCCCCCACTCTGAGGCTCAAATTTCATGAAATCTTGATTGGTGCAAACCGGATTTTGATATCTTCAACCGTTTAGCCGCTAGAGGCCGATTCTCGATTTTGAGCAATACTGTAAAGCCTCCATAACTTTCTTGTTTATGAAAATAATCCATTTCCGTAAAGACCTTTTAGAAGCACTTTTTCAAGCAGAATTCAGTGACATTCTCAGTTTTTTTCTGTCTGGCTTCGATTTCCAGATATTGACCAAAATCCGATTTTTTTCAATAGGACACTCTATATATTAATAGTTCATTAGAAAGCTATGCTTTCGCTGATTTTAATGATACAAGGTTTGATAGGTTTATCTCTAACAGTTTTCGAGAAAAAAAATTATTTCGGTTTTTGTCATAAGAAACAATGTGTTGGAAAAGGACTTTATCTCTGTAAGGAAACTGAGAAAGGTCTCTTTCTTACACATTGTTTCTTATGACAAAAACCGAAATAATTTTTTTTCTCGAAAACTGTTAAAGATAAACCTATCAAACCTGTATCATTAAAATCAGCGAAAGCATAGCTTTCCAATGAACTATTAATATATAGAGCGTCCTATTGAAAAAAATCGGATTTTGGTCAATATCTCGAAATCGAAGCCAGACAGAAAAAAACTGAGAATGTCACTGAATTCTGCTTGAAAAAGTGCTTCCAAAAGGTCTTTACGGAAATAAATTATTTCCATAAACAAAAAAGTTATGGAGACTATACAGTATTGCTCAAAGTCGAGAATTGCCCTCTAGCGCCTAAACGGTTGAAGATATCAAAATGCGGTTTGCACCAATCAAAATTTCATGAAATTTGAGCCTCAGAGTGGGGGGTCCATTTTTTTCTATCTCTAAAAATAAAGGGTGTTTCCATAAGAAAGTGTCCAATTTGGACCACCCTGTACAGTGGGAAGCATTGCAATTGGCACACACTATATAAATATCCCTCGTAATGTGTCAAATCTGACACACAGTCATAGCAAAATGTTGCACTAAATAGATTTATTGGTTAGAATGTTAACTTAAAAAGGGGGTGTGACCTTAAAATACAACTTGTTTTCAGAAAATAAAGAAAGAAATTCTAAGAACTCTTGTGAAAATCTCGCATCGCTACTCAAAATAATAAAGTAGATACACCTAAATAAAAGTTTGTCCATTCATCGCGTGACGTCACAACCACGCGACGAGCGTGTTGGCCGGCTCAGGGCGCGAGGCGCGTGTCATTACACGCGTAGTAGTAGCCTATTTATTAGTGTATGTCGTTTATAGATTAACGTTCTTCTGCTTAATTTGTTCGTTACTTGTCGATAGTGTTTCATTTATGTAATAACATTAAAAATGCCTAATTGCTGTGTTGAAGGTTGCAATAACAATCCTAAAAATGCTGGTATTTTGTTGCATTCATTTTCGAAGAAAGAACTACAGCTAGCTCTATACAAAACGTGGAAAAATCGCATAAACCGGAAAAATTTTAATCCCAATCATCGCCATGTGGTTTGTAATGTACACTTTAATGACAATGACTTTGAACATAGTGTAAAGACGACTTTATTGCCTAATGAGAAGATAAAGATGAGATTGAAGAAGAATAATATTCCGACTTTCTTTTTATCCAATAAAGGTGCTACAAAGGAAAGTATATTAAGAATTTCCACGTATCTTCGTGAAACACTTGCACCATGTAAGCGAATTAGGTCTTTCAGGGTTTTTGTCAGTTTTTCCTTTTTCCTCGTCGTTTTTTAATTTCTAGTTCTTTTTTAGAATATTTTGGCTCAAAACCAAAAGTCATTATTGTTGAAGAAAAAACTTAGAATATCTTATTTTAAATTAAAAAAACCTATTTAAACTTGAACGCAAAAACAATACGATAATCTCGATATATTATTATGCAGCAAGTATGAGCAAACGCGCGCACAACGCCGGCCGGCGGACTCAGATGGGGTTCTGACGTCACAGTGCTGGGAGTAGCAACTTCATACCACGATATCTTCGCAACGGTTGGTCGTAGCCTAGTGCGGTTTGAAAATTTGTTCTTAGATTTTTTTTTTCCAAAACTTTTATTTTTGGGTCACACCCCCTTTAATACGAGGGATTTTAAAGAGTGTGTGCCAATTGCAATGATTCCCACTGTACATACAATGGGATTATTTACCGATTCTTGTGCA